AAAAAAAAAAAAAACAATAGCCAAGATATGGAAACAATCCAGATGCCCCACTACAGATGAATGGATCCAAAACTTGTGGTACCTATATACAATGGAATAGTATGCTGCCATCAGAAAGGACAAAATAATGGCATTCACAGGATGGAACTAAAACAAATCATGTTGAGAGATATAAGCCAAGATCAGAGAGACAAATGGCAAATGGTCTCCCTGATATGCGGATGTTAAATTCAAAATGCAAGGAGATATGACAAAGTAAACAGGACTCAAGAAACAAAGGACCTCTTCTTAATTTGTCGTATCATTTCTAGATGACTCCATGTTCTTGGCCTTACATATGGTTTACACATGCGCACAACTGAGGGAAGTTAGGAAGAAGGTACAGAATCAGAAGGAAACGGATGAAAAAATACAACAGAGGGGACCCATTAGCTGCACTGGACATTGATGAAAATGAACAAGCAACTCAAGGGCAGGGGAGCAACACTAAGCTAACACTAAGCAAAAGGAAAGAAATGCTTGTATCATCCGATCTTGAAGAAATAATTTAATGTAAAAGTTTGTAGAATTCACAAGCTTTATAGACCATGATAATGACAATTCACCTTGTGAAGGTTAAAATGTGTTTGTGACTTTGGCTCAGCATCACTATCCCACAATACTGTGAAATTTGTGAAATTTATGTAATCACAATAAAGAAAAAAAGAAAGAACAAATCTGATTAGTGATGGGTTGATACAATGATGGGCACAAATATTTCCATCATCTCAGTATACTAGTTTGTGGTTTCATGGATGTAGAGTTAGGTAGACAAAAGTGAAAAACTATGGGGCTGGGAAGGTGGCTCAGTGGTAGAGCGCTTGCCTTGCATGCCTGAGGCCCTGAGTTCCATTCCTCAGCACCACATAAGCAGAAAAAGCCAGAAGTGGTGCTGTGGCTCAAATGGTAGAGTGCTAGCCTTGAGCTGAAGAGCTGAGGGACAGCACCCAGGCTCAGAATTCAAGCCCCACAACTGGCAAAATAATAATAATAATGATGATGATGATGATGATGATGATGATGATGATGATGATGCAGATAGCAACATGAACCAGGGTACAAGCACATGCGCACCTCCATGTTCATTGCAGCACTGTTCACAATAGCCAAGATAAGGAAACAACCCAGATGCCCCACCACAGATGAATGGATCCAGAAACTGTGATGCCTATATACGATGGAATTGGCCATTAGAAAGGACAAAATAATGGCATTCGCAGGTAAATGGATGGAACTAGAGCAAATCATTTTGAGTAAGGTGAGCCAAGAGCCGAGAGACATATGGTAGATGGTCTCCCTGGTGTGTGGATGTTGAATCCAAAGTGCAGGGAGATACGACAGGATGGACAGGACTCAAGAGACAAAGGACCTCTATTCCGTTTGTCATATCATTTCTGAATGACTTGACCACTTCTTGACCACTTATATGGTATGTGCATGTCTGAGGGAGGCTGGGGGAAGGGCATGGAGTCAAGGGGAAACGGGAAGGTATGTGACAGTAGGACCCATCAGCTGTACTGGACATTGATGAAAACGAACTAAGCAACTCCAGGGCCATGATGGAAAGGAGGGAATGAGAGGGAAAGAGGGAACAGCTTACACTGGGCAGAAGGAAAGGAACGTACATGTTGCCCGACATGAAAGAAATAGTTGTATTGTCAAAGCTCATAGAATTCACAAACATTATGGACCATGATAATGAGTTTGCCTTGTGAGGGTTAAAATGTGTTTGTGACTTGAACTAAGTATCCCTATCTCACAATGCTGTGAAATTGGTGAAATTTATACAATCACTTAACCTCAATTAAAAAAAAATAATGTAGATAATGTCTCATCGTCTGACTTAGGAAACAGTAATTTTTGCCAGGTGCTGGTGGCTCATGCCTGTAATCCTAGCTACTCAGGAGGCTGACATCTGAGGATCAAGGTTCAAAGGCAGCCTGGTCAGGATGGTTTGTGAAACTCTTAACTCTAATTACCACCAGAAAATGGGAAGTGGCACAGGTGGCTCAAGTGGAAGAATGCTTGCCTTAAGCTGAAGAGCTCAGGGACAGTGCCCAGGCCCAGAGTTCAAGCCCCATGACCTGACAAAAAAGAAGTAACTTTTTTGGACAACACCCTAATAATAACAATGGAATTCATTAGAAATAATGTATATAGAAACAGTTAATTTTCAACTATTCTGCAACAGTAAAAATTGAAGCCAACCTGGGACCCAGGGTCTCATACCTGCAATCCGAGCTACTAGATGACTGAGATCAGAGGCTCCTGGTTCAAAGCCAGCCAAGGCAGATAAATCCAAGAACACCTTATCTCCAATTAACCAGCAAAAGGAAAAAAAAAGAGAGCCAGAAGTAGACCAGCAGCTCAGCTCAAGTGGCAGAGCTCCAGCCTTGAGCAAAAAAGCTGAGTGTGGGCCCTGAGTTCAAGACTTAGCACAGGCAAACAGGCTGTCTCTCTTTCTCACCCCCCTCCTGTCTCCCTCTCTCCCTCCCCCTCTCTCTCTCTCTCTCTGCTACAGTTGAGGCCATGTGGATATACTTACACTTTCTAAACTGAGTATACCAAACCCAAATGAAACCACCTCCTTTCTTTCCCATTAGCAAACACTTACATCGCCTAACAGGGAACTAGGCATTTTGATCCCTTCTTCATAGATGTGAGATTACAGGCCCGACTCTTCCTTCAAGGGGAGAGAGCCCCTGGCTCCACTTACTCTTCATTGAGGGCACAGCGGCGATTGGTGAGGGCGCCGTTCTTCCGCAGCGACTGGGTGAGCTCCGAGTACAGGGTATCGGCCAGCTGGATGGGAATCGCGTCCCACACCAGGATGAGAATCACGATCACGGCCGCCTCGCAGCGGTGGCCAGCTCGCTCTCGGACACAACACAGCAGCTTCTCCTCCAGGCTAGCTCTGCGTATCACCTGCGTGCGTCCCCATTCACCCCCAGAATCCCCCACCCCGCCCAAAATGGAACAAGGGTCACTTGTGGCAGACAAGAACACTGGCTTTTCTGAGTTAAAATTAATATATAATATATATATAATATGTCATATATAATATAGATCATTGGTTGCAAACATATTTCACTGTTTATGGGGAGCTTAGCTTAGGAGGTCAGAAAAGAAGTATACAACTACTTCTAATGGTTAGCACGCTATACCAGCACAGTGGGAGCCACTAATTAAATGGCACCTGCATGAAAAGCCAGAGCTAATGCAAGCAAAGACATGCTAATGCACACTCCAGACATGCAAGAGTTGAGGGGAATGGGTGGAGATGAGAGCGACAGAGAAAATGATGGAAGGGGCCGGATGCATTGTATTCATAAATTAATATGTTGGATTGAACCCCCTGTGGTACAATTTGATATAATAAAATAAAATAAAAAACATGCAGGTCAGAATTCAGTGTTAGCATTAATACAACCTATGGGGAAATTTAGGATGTTTAAAGCATTAAGGACTATTTCTTCACAACCCAAGAATTATACTTTAAGCAGGCAATAAGACAGGCCTTTACCCTATTAAGTACATTGTGTCTATGATTTGAATAGGAATCCACCTTATTAAAAGATGCGACATACATGATAACCTATAGACCAAAACGTGCCCTTCAACCTGTATACTAACCCAATTTTCAGGGCTGTATTGAGCCAAAATTCCCAAGATTGAAGACCAAAGGCATTTTCAAGTCACACTTACCCATTTAGCAATAGGGCATCCCTGAGAACTTTTGCCTTCTTTGCCGGTATAGACGGCCCTTTCAATTCTAATAGCTTTACCCTTCTCTCCAAACCTTAAAGAAACCCACAGAAATACACACATACACAATTAGAAAAAATGATTTCAAGAAGCAATCAAAATATTTGAACATTTAAGTGCAATTTTATCCTATGACCACATCCTGAGAAATAAATGGTTTATTTATTTATTTTAAAAACAGGTCTAAGCCAAGCAACTGGATAATAGACTTTGATGTCTTACTTTTCTGCAGTATCAAAATATACCGGAAAATGTAATGAACTATTATTTCCTGTCTTACATGTTGGGTAGAGAAATACTGGGACAGATTTTTTTCTTATTATATAATTTCACAAAGTGCAAAATTTTAGTTTGCCCAATTCAGTCTTTTAAAACATATACTATTTGACTTTTGACCTTTACTAAATCTATTTTTCAGAACTTGGGGATTCATAATAGATTTAACTAAATCTCATTTTGTAAAAGGACTTGACAAGTACTTAGCATCCACCCATTTGAAAATACAGGATAGTGCTAGAAATAGACAGTAGAGACTTTTTGCTAATAAAAGGGACCATTTGGAGAGATTTGCTTTCTCTGCTAGGGTGATTTTATTTAGTTAATTTTCTATGCATTAATTTAGAAATGTGTGGTTTGGAAATACAGCAAGAGTGGTACTCAAAGTATCCTTGCTGCCCAATGTTTCCTCCTGTATTTCCATGCTCATCCAGGCTACCACGTAAGGAAAGACTAGTAGATTACAAGCTCAGAGTTGTAGACACCTACAAAGTCTTCTTTTGGAGGAGTTACGTGTTGATACTCGCAAATACTAATTAGCAGACCTGTGACTGATCTTTTTTTTTTTTAAAGGCAGCTATAAACCATGTCTTTTCTATTTAACACATCACCCTTGCACTCTTGGTTCAAAAGATAACTTACACATTTGCAATTTAACTCAACGACTACTTTCCCACTCTTTCCTCTTTGACACTATCAAGTGGGAGGGCCCAGCAGGGGACTCTGCAGCCTGTGCCAGCACCCCTGTGCCTGGCAGACTGGTTGGATGACTCTTGTTGGTGCCTAAGTTTTTCTATTTCTAGCATCTAACTCAGAGTGGGTAGCCTGTGCCAGCTCAGAGACTATTAGTCCTGTCAAATATTGTGACTCCCTGGTGAATAGTGCAGTGTGTAGTGTTGGCAAGCCCGGAAGAGCTAAGCTACTAATAATTACTCCATTTACAATTGTTTACTGCTTTGTGTGTGAAGGCTGGAAAATCTGACATATACAAAGGGATAAACGTTAATCTGCCCTGTGCCTTTGCGTTAATTACCTTTCTTCCATGATTTCTCTAATAGCTGCCACATTAGGACCTGCTCCTAGATGGGTATAAAAAGGACCTTCATCTTTTTCAATAATTTGCTCTGTTGAGATAATAGAAGATTATTATTATAGACCTCAATTACACTAAATATAAAGGCTACATCCACAAAAAGTATCCCCCATCTGCACATGAAGGGCTGTAAATTATTTAAAAATTTTTTCTTTAAAATGAGTAACTTGATGGACTGAGTTATTGTGCCAGATGATTAAGTATTATGTACATGAAGGCTACTGGAAAAGATTACCAAATTACATTTCAGACATGGCATATAAGAAATAATTTTAAACCAAAGAAGTGGAACTAAACAACAACAACAAAAGAATTAGAATGTATTATATGTAATATCAAGTACAACTCAACTTTGTAAGCTGGAAAAAAATAATTCAAGCTAATTAGAAGTTTGCCTATCACTTATGAATGTCAAAATTTTAAAAATAAAATTCCCTGTCTAATACCACCCCCAGAATATCATTCAGTTTCTTGTCAAAGGTCTATGTTTTTTTTTTCTTTTCTTTTTAAAAACTTTGTGCCAGTACTGCATCTGAATTGAACTCAAGGCTGAGCTTCTTCGCTCAAGTTTGGTGCTCTACCATTTGAGTAACAGCTCCACTTCTGGCTTCTGATGTTTAGCTGGAAATAAGAGTCTCATGGACTTTCCTGCCCAGGCTGGCTTTGAACTGATCATCTAATCTCAGTCTCCCAAGTAGAGTAGCTAGGATCACAGTTGTGAGCCACTGGCACTCAGCCAGCTCCCTTCTTCTGCCTCATATTTACTACCACATTTAATGACTCTATTTTTAAAATGAGAATGTTCAATCTAGACAGATATTTGGATGATGATGTGAGAAAATACTTGAGAGTAAAGCAGGGGCAATTGTTAACCCAAAAGATGGAAGAGCAGGGTAGGACTAGGGTGAGGAGAAAGGAATGAAAGTCATGACTTATCTAATCTTATCTGTGACATGTGTGGCATGTTAGCCCAGGTACAGAACTTAGTGACTACACATAAGGAGGGAAAGTATGGAGTCTCCTCCATCAATCTACACATCACAGCAAGGACAGATAGCATGGAGAAGTTAGCCACCATCCATGCTAACTGAACATTTGCTTTCTTAAATATCTTTGCCTCTATCCCTGTTCTTAGCTGTGGTTAAGATCATCTCTGCCCATACTTCATCTGCAGACAGCAGCCAAAACATTTCCTTATTACAGACTGGTCACATCATCTGAATTTTAACAGAAAGTTGTTTCTTTTTAAGGAAAAAAAAGTAGAAATACCATTTTATCAAAAGCTGAAATATTAGCTGGATAGCGGTGGCTCATGTCTGTAATCCTAGCTACCCAGGAGGCTGAAAGCTGAGGACTGTGAGGCAGCCTGGGCAGGCAAATCTGAGACTCTTATCTCCAATTAATCAGCAAAAAGCTGGAAGTGAAGATGTGGCTCAAGTGGTAGAGCACCAGCCTGGAATGAAATAGGTGAGTGAGAGCATGAGGCCTTGAGTTCAAGCCCCAGTGCTGGCAAAACCAAACCAAAAAATACAATAAAATAAAAAAGATAAAAATCAAAAAGAAAACAGATGAAACAAAGAGAAAAAAATGACACAAAAATGAATAGAAATCGGCATCTTAACTGTATTGAGGGGGGAAAAGGTCACAGTGAGTACTCTCAGAGCTTTTGCATTGTCATTTCTCCAACTCAAGAGATTAAAGGTAATAATTTCCTTATAGAGAAATGTTTGAAAACAAATAAGCTCCAGATTCTAGAAAAATGAACAATCCTACATTAGCTTGTACTGGAACAGTTATTCTCTTATGTTGATCATTTAAGCTACCTGTTTGCCTCTTCAGATGATATGCAAAGAATTAAATCAAGAAATTTCAAACAAATACATTTATATTTTAGAGAGTGGAACTGAGGGGGTGAAATGAACATGCCTAGGTATTTAAATTTGGGGGGAAACATGCAAATGAAGCTTTCTCTGGCTCAGCACAAGGATCTATAACTTAAGGGGGTGGGGAAAGCTTTGGAGGTTTTATGAGCCTTTAAAACTTGCTCCCAGACACAAGATTAAAAAAAAAAGAAAGATCATCTCATATCTGAAGATAAATTTTGCTAATTCTGGATAAACACCATGTGCTTCAGTACGTGTCTAGCACTTACCTACACATCTGCACGATGGGAAATCATACTGGGTCTTGGCAGGTGCACTCCATAAATTTTTTATAGGTGCCTCAAATAATTGGGAAGGTGACTCTACAAAACTATTGAAAACGGAGCCAGCTGTTCTTTTGCTGGGTGTCTTTTCTAAAGGCGATGCTGGCTGCTCTGATGTTGAAGTGTGGCTATTGATTTGTGTCGTTAAAACTGTCACTGGCCCAGACATCTCTACTTTCACATGTTTCTGGGACTTGAGACTAAGTGCTTTATGGTCAAAGAGTGATTTGGCCTGAAACTGCTTCACCTGCAGTTCCATGGTCTCGATGATGCTCTTCTGCTGGCTATTCTCGACGCTCAGAGGTGGAATCTCTTGTTTGGGTGTCTTTTTCCAAGTTTTGTTCTCTTGAGGTGTTGCTGCACGCATACAGGCCTGGGGCTTGGAGCCAGGCTCACTTTTGATGGGCTTGTGCATCTGATTTTGGCAGGACTCAGCTTGGGCTTGCTGAGCTTGCTGCTGCTCTTGCTTTTGTAAGAGGTGCCACCTGAGAGCAGCATGCTTTTGGATGTCCTTTGGGGTAGGGCTAACACGAATGCAACATCCTCCCTGATCAGAAGCAGGGAATGGCTCTGCATGGTGATGCATCAAGTACCTTTGCTGAGCTAGTTGTACAGTTTGTTGTCCTGACATTTCCTGGCTTCTGCTTTTATATCCCTGTAGAACTGAGGCTTGTGGAGGCTTCTGCTCTTGTTCTTGAAAGCACCTGTGAGGAACTTCTTGCTTTGGAGTCACATGATTTGGAAAATAGTGCATGTGGTGCAAGTTGGGGGTCTTGCTTCCTCCAAAGACTTCAGAATGTATGGTTTGTTCATTCCCCTCTGGGATAAGGTGTGGATTGCTTGCACTTGACTTCAAGATCTGACCATAAGGGACATTTCTATTAGTATTCTGTACTTGCTCTAATTTTTCTTGGGTAGTACGAGCTTGGAACTCATTTGGTTTTGAATACTGATTTTCACCACTAAAGCAGTCTTCTACTTTAATCTGGCCAAAGAACGATCCTTCTCTTTGCTGATCGTTATGACCTTGTGGGTGAGGGAAAGCCTGAGGCATTTGTTCTTTACTCCTCATTTGTAATTTTTGCTGCTGCACCTGCTGGTTTTGAGAGAAGTGTGGATCTGGGGATGGTGGGATTTGTTCAGCCTTCTTGGGACGCTTAAGTGTTGAAAAGGGCTCAGCCTCAGTAACCTGTTGATCTAAGTGCCGTTTTAATTGTGGGGACAGGAACTTCTCAGTGTGTGGATCTGCTCTTTGTGGAAAGTAAAATCTAGAGGCACACGGTACCTTCCTGGGAGGTTCAGGCGAAGACTCTGTCTTAGAAACGTGCCCTTGAGGAGAGAGTTTTTGGAACTGGAGATGTTGGTCCAACATACCTTGAGACTGCCCTTGACCTGTCTCCGCCTGGTACATTTGTAACTTCTGCTCCCGAGGCATCATTTTCTGGAGATAAACTTGCCTGGAGAGCCCTCCACTTATGTTGGAATTTCCAGTGTATTGTGTGGAGGTGATTGGATGGGCACTGTTGGATTGACACTGTCGCGAGGCCTCACGGAAGGGTGGATGAGATTCCGCTTGATGAAAGTGCGGAGTCTTCAATTCAATCCATCCTGGTTTCAGAGAGTGTGGAGTTGGGAGCGCATGATCTTGTGTTCGATCCTTCCCCATTGCTTCCTCTTTGCAGCCCATCAGCTGCTGGTGATGGTGGCTACCAAGAGTTGGAGGGTTATGTTTGAGATGTTCTGCTACTGTGGTTTTCTCAGAAGCCAAGGGAACAGTGGTTGTACCGGGTGTCCGGATGCCATTGTTATTAACACAATTATTCTGAGGACCTTCTGGAACCAACAGGGAAGGGCTGGATAGGCTGGCAGAGGGATCAGGACTCTGGGATGCTCTGGTCAAACATGGACCTTCAACTTTCACTTCCTGTAGAAGAGTTACGTTACTTTGGTTCGGATGGTGGTGGTTTGCTTCCAAAACTCCATCCTTCAGACTGCTGTTTCCTTCTGAAGGAAACTGAGGAAGAGGAGAAAGAGGAGGAGGGGGAGAAAGAAGCAGTTGGGGGGTCGTGGGAGTGGTAGGAAAGCTCCGCTTGAAGTAAGCACCATTCATTTCATTTTGCTTTAAATACTGTTCAGAGTTGCCATGAGGAGTTTGCGACTTGCTTCTGACACCTGAACAGAATTCTTCACCAGAGACGAGTCTCATGTTTCCTTGAAGGTGGCTGTTTTCTGCTGGAGATGAGCCAAGCTCAAAGAGTGACTTCTGCGGTTGGCGGTAGTCTGGTGTTTGGGGGGAACACGTGGTCCCCGGCATTGCCATGGGTTTCTTGACATGCTTAGCATCACAGGCCTTTGCTGGCTCTGGTGGCAGCTCAGGGATTGAGGTCTGGGAATTGTTCTGCCCTGAGGTATGCAGTGGGTGAGTGAGCTCACAGGACAACTCATTAGTAGCCTGACTGTTAATAGCATTGATGTGAGATGTGGTCGTCTGCACTGTACTGGAAACACACCCTGGATAGTATCGAGACAGTGTTTTCTCCAGGAGCTCACCGTGTGTGTTTTCCATCGAAGAGGCAGATTCGGTAGCACCATTAGGCATTAGCACTGCCTGGTTTGTAAGAAGTAATACAAGGTTCTTGTTGTGGTAGCTAGCATTTTCCCTTTCCTGCTCATTCTGAATCTGAAGCTCTGGATTTTCAGAGCCGTTGCAGTGACTGGATGGGAAACTGGTGGAATTTTTCACTGAATTTTCTTGGGTGACCGAGCTCACAGATTCTGTCTTATCACTCAAATCGGAGACATTTGGTTGACTGCTGCTTTTACCTGGATTTCTTTCTTGCCTTTCCCCGAAGTTATTTCTCTCTCCATTAGCCTTTTGGTCTTGTTTCCATTTCCGTTTATTTGGGAACCCAGAGAGAGACGGTTCACTAAGTGTGCGTTTTATTCCTCTATTTGGCAAATGCTTGGAATACCCTTGGCCTTCTTGGATGAAATCTGGACTGGTGCAACTACTCTGGCTATCCTTCATATGCGGTATTCCGTAATAGCTCTTGAAAGACTGCCACTTGGTATCTCCATTTACTTCTTGATGTGGTCTCTCAGTTACTGGGCTTCCATTCTGGAGTTTTACAGCCAGAGGTTCTGCCTGGCAGATCGGGGAAGGTAATGGTCTCAGGAATGGACTTTGTCTGTTGCCCTCCACATGGTTGGTTCTATCCTCTTCCATCGGGCTTGCTTCGGGGCCATCCACAAGGCTGCCCTCTGAATGAATCCTAAAGAACATGGAAACAAATACGATGCATCAGTATACATCAACACTAACAGATAACTTAGATGATAAATGTCACTGAAGTAGTATAGGAATACCTATGGAAGAAAGTTATACTCATTTTCTCTGTCTGTAATGATGGACCAATGGCTACTTGAGAAGTGTTCATTTTTTATCTTTCCAACAACTCTCAGGTCATTATGGTCATGGAGCGCAATGGCTAATAAAAATTATTAGCTGACATGGGAGTTTATTAGTAATTAGTACCAACTTCTTTTCCAAATAATTCTTTGGGATCAAAATTCTAAGAATTATAAAGAAAAATCCTTTCTCTTTCTTTTCCCCTAGTACTTCATGTATCCAATTCCTTGCCAAGTTCTCTTGTTTACACTTTCTACATAGTCCTTAGATCATCTTCATTGCAAGTTTTAACACTCAGATCTTTACTTTGTTAAGACCTATGTTAGCAGATTTAAAAAAAAGGATTATCTCCCTTAACCCTAGGTGCTTCCCCACCCCTACCCCTTCAAGGACACACACCAACACAGAAAATTAACAACATATAGGCAAATCATAAAAATAGGTTGGGTATTTTTTTTTTACTTGGTATTGTTTTTACTTCTTGACCTATGTCTCCAATCCTTTTGATTTTAGTGTTTCTTTTAGATAGGATTTCCTAATTTGCCCCAATCTTTCTGTCTTTATTTCCTTTAGTAACTAAAATTACAGGCATGTTCCACCATACCTGGCTTATTTGTTGAGGTAAGGTTTCACTCTGCCTGGGCTAACTATGAGCTATGATCTTCCTTATATTTGCCTCCTGGAAATCTGGAATTGTATTTGTGAAGTACTCTATGCCACTTTGGCATTTTCTTTCTTTCTTTCTTTTTTTTCTTGGTCAGTCATGGGGCTTGAATTCTAGGCCTGGGTACTGTCCCTGAGCTTTTCAGCTCAAGGCTAGCATGCAGCTGGGTTCAGGTGGCTCACGCTTGTCATCCTAGCTACTCAGGAAGCTGAGATCTGAGGATTGCGGTTCAAAGCCAGCCCAGGAAAGTCCGTGAGACTCTTATCTCCAATAAACCACAAGAAAACTGGAAGTGGCGCTGTGGCTCAAGCAATAGAGGGCTCACCTTCAGTTGAAGAGCTAAGGGACAGCGCCAAAGCCCACAGCGCCATGTCTGGCCTTTTTTTTCTGTTTATGTGGTGCTGAGGAATCAAACCCAGGGCCTCATGCATGTGAGGCAAGCACTCTACCACTGAGCTACCTTCCCAGCCCCCGGAGTTTTCTTAGGAGACCAAATAGGCAGTTTTAGAAATTATATAAGATAGATTTGAATGAAATCACAAATAAAACCAAAAAGCACATTTAGATCCAATTTGTCATTTTTTGTATCTCCTTTTACTGCAGTAATCCAATATTCCTCATAAATAAATCCCACCTTTCTGAAGAGCCAAAAAGAGCAGTTTTAAGCAGAAGGATTACCATTTCTTAGTCAGGTAATGAGTACATTTCTTTTTGGGTGATGTTACCCCTTCCTTCACTCTCTCCCACTTTCCCCCCTTCTGTGATTTATTTCTTTTTTTTTCTAAAATCTAAAGGTCAAATTATATCCAAGTAATTTAGCATAAATAGGAACACACAATCATTATCTATGGCCATTCCATGATTTCAGCTAATGGCACAGAACAATTTTCTAAGAGAGAGAAAGGAGATGTATAGAAGGAAAGGGAGAAAGAGGGAGGGGGTGGGGAAAGAGGAAGGAAGGAGGGGACACCATGTTATGACCTTTATCATTGATGTGAAGATTTATGAAGCATCTCTATTTTGAATACTGTCCCTTTAGCTAGTAGCTAACATTTTGGTTTCCTAAGACCAAAACAGGTTTTCAGCCATAGCAGTTTCCCTTTGATATTTAATTCTGTGCCTTTTCTTGCCTCTCTGACAATAATTTATTATAAATTCAAGTCGCATCGGCAGCATCTGTGAAACAATTACTGCATCTAGGACTGACTTTGCAGTCTAATCCATCATAATTATGACAGTCCTCTTTGAAGATACCATGATGCATGACTTAAAAATAGCACATTAGTGTGCAAATGGACCTGCATCTCATTTCACCAATATGCATTTAGGGCTGTAATTTAGCTCAACACCATTTGACTCTTTGAATCGCTCAAATGTAGCTGCATTTCTTACCACATCAGACTACATAGATGCGGCTCAAAATTTGTGAAGGGTTTCTATTCTCTTGTTCTCTCTATTGATTTTGTAGGTGGTATTTCTTTTCCTGCTCTTAGTGTAAAAAAAAAAAGGCACAGATCATTTAAGTCTTTTCTCAAGGGAAAACCCTATGCAGATGTTATGATAATGCAGTTTAATTAAATGCAATCTCGAGGTATTGAGAGGCTGTGAATTGGGAGAGTCCAAAGTTAATACCACTGTGAACTTAGATGGACGTGTGGAAATGAAAGTCTTTGCTTTACCTTCAAAATTACACCAGCAAAGAAACTTAAGTATCTTGCTGTTCTACTTATTTAAACAGTTTGCCTCTAACTGGGTATTTCTTCTATCAGGTAAAAAGATTCAATGTGGCTATCAAAGCTTAAGCCTACAAGGTTTGAAACAGTAACCCTTGACATTATAATTGAATAGCAAGTTTGATTTCTTTCACGAAGTTTAAGAACCATTACTTTGTTGTATACATACTTTAATTTCAGGTACAAGTGAGAATTTAGTTTTCTAATTAAATCTTGTAAGTGCAGCCTTGTAACCTCTTGAGTCCCACAAGTCACCCCAAGAATATAATCTTTGACTGTTCATTTCTAAACCACACCTACATACACTCAAACAAAATTGAGGATTATTAGGCAACTTTTTATGTGGGTATAAATAGAAACAATGACAATTGAGAAATTGTAGTATATCTCTATTGGTATGTTGAGTAATTTAGCATGAGTTATTTTTTTTTAATCCATTAAAAAACACACAGGTCTGGGAAGGTGGCTCAGTGGTAGAGTGCTTGCCTTGCATGCATGAGGCCCTAGGTTCGATTCCTTAGCATCACATAAGCAAAATGAAAAAAGCCAGAAGTGGTGCTGTGGCTCAAGTGGTAGAGCACTAGCCTTGAGCTGAAGAGCTGAGGGACAGCGCCCAGGCCCAGAGTTCAGGCCCCACAACCGGACCCCCCCCAAAACACACACACACACACACACACATACATATACATATATATATATATACTCAGGCTGGGTGCTGGTGGCTCATGCCTGTATATAATCCTAGCTACTCAGGAGGCTGATATCTGAGGATCATGGTGGTTTGAAGCCAGCCCATGAGTTCAAGCCCCACGACTAACAAAAAAAATTTTTAAAAAAGAACCCCAGCCTACAAATTTTCTGCCATATACCTTTCTGTTCCCATTTTGATAAACAACTTGGCACACATACTATTATAGTAAAAATGAAGTTGTTAGAAATGCCTCATATCAGCTCTAGACCCAAATCAATCAACAGGCATATTCTGTTTAGACCTCTTAACCTTAGACATCAATGTAGATCATTCTTTATCATGAAAGATCCAACAGCTAGACTCTGCCCAGCCTTCTCTCAGTCAGCCTATGAACAGAAATGTCAGTTTCAAGATGGGTACTAGTGGCTCAGGCCTATAATCCTAGCTAAATTTTGAGGATCATGGTTCAAAGCAAGGCCAGGCAGCAAAGTCATCTGTGACATCCTTCAATTAAGGACACACACACACACACACACACACACACACACACACACACACACATACACTTTCCTTCCCTATATGGCTTAAGATTCTCTTGATTCATCACAGAACAAATACAAATTCTGACTATTATTAATAAGACTCAAAATGTCAGGTTGAATTTAACTCCTAGCTTAATAAATACCACCAGTGGTGAGTGGCCAAAAAGTATTCATGCAAACATTGATTCTCATATATTCAGTTTGACTGAAAGAAGCCTTCACCCAAACATACACACTGTGCAGAAAGCAAGTTCACATGAAATGTAATAGTTTTGTCCTTTTATCCACTTCACTCTGAAACATCAGTATTTGAATGTGAGATTGACACTAAAATGCAGTTCGAACTTGAGATTACATTTGCAGACAGTCTGCCTCTTTGGAGGAAGATTGTTTTACTTGGTACCCTGTTCCCTGTTTCCTGTTTTGTTGTGGCAAGCAGGTCACCACTTTCAAAAAAAAAAGTAATGAAACCAAATTCATACTAAATTACTCCCAAACTTTGAAATTAACTGGTAACACTAGGTACTTACTACTATGTCTTTACCCATATTTTATGCTTCATGCTAACCTAGTCAGTCAGGAATACTCTGCAACTTTTCTACGACTAGAAACAATCCAAGAAAAAAAATGGTAAAAATAAAGTTGTATTAATTAGCCTTTTGAGTTCATTGCACATTAGAAGTCTATTTTTTGTATCCCTGACACTCCACAGAAAGACAAAAAATAATAATGAACCTGGAACTGGTGGCTACTTGGGAGCTGAAATCTGGAGATCAATTACTCAAAGACAGTTAGGGCAGGAAATTCTTTTAAGACTACAACCAGCAAAAAGCCAGGAGGCCTGGTTCAAGTGATAAATTGCCATCCTAGAGTGGGAAAACTTGAGTTCAAGGAGCAATGCTGGTACAATAATAAATAATAAAAACAATAAACAAAAACCAGTTAAAAGACTCCCCTAACTTGGGAAATTTATTCTTCACAGAACCCAAAATGTGTTTTAGAGAAGAAATAATGTTGGAGTCCTGGATTGCTTGCTTGCAAATAGGCATCTTCTATCAGTTAGTATGGAGGGAAGGGAAGGGGACCTGAACAGTTCTAAGTCAGGATAGAGAATAACAATTTGTTTTTAGCGGGCTGGGAATGTAGCTTAGTGGTAGAGTGCTTGACTAATATGCATGAAGCTATGAGTTCAGTTCCTTAGTACCACATAAACAGAAAAGGCCAGAAGTGGCA